AGTGCACGAATGTTGTGCACTAGGCCTCTAGTAATATTAATAATTGCCCATCTTTATGTCAGGCACTCAACTCAGCACTCTGCGAGGATTATCTACTTTCTCTGAACACCACCACAATGGATTAGGTGCTGTTATCAGTCTCTATTTTTCACATGAAGAATCTGAAGCTCACAAAAGTTTTAACCACTGACCCGACATTGCTGGTCTAAACTAAGCTGAGTTTCAAACCCTAGTCTGTCTGAATCTAACCACTGAGCGGCACTTCCTGGGTCTCTCCTTCCAACCTGCAACCCTCTGGCCGTACTTCCTGTGTGACCCTCTGCTTTGTGTCTCATGTCTGTGTACTCCTCTCTTCCCTTCAAGCCCAGCCCCACTTTATTTTCACCTCCTCAGGAATGTATCTCTGTCCACCCCCGTGGCTCTCAGCCAAGGCTGTACCCCTGGGAGTCGGGGAGTGGGGGTGGGGGTGGGGGCTTCAACAAATCCTGATGCCCAGGCCCCACTTCAGACCAATTGCATGGAACTCTCTGGGGTGGGCCCCGCATCAGGGTTGCTACACAGGGGCAGGCTTGTTGCAGACAGTAAAGAATTACATCTGATTCTGAATGCCCCATCCGGACCTGTTTCCTGAGCTCAGTGAAGCAGGTATTGAACTCTGGTCTTTAACATCTAGCTCTGAGGTTCCACAGTTCCGCTGTTCCCTGCAAGGATGCTGTAGGCTTCTAACGAAAGACCTAGCAAATAGTCGCCATCCACTCCCCTGCTTGCCTAGGAAAGCCGCTCTCTCCCGTGGACTGGCCGACCTGTCCCTCCCTGCCTCCTAGGTTTTCCTACTCTCATTGTGGGGTGGAGAGCATACGTAGGGGCCTGAGCAGCGATGAAAACTCTAAGCAGGTGGCAAATTTGAGGTGCCCATAGAGTCTGGAAGCACCGATAGTATTATTTTCATGTTTAACAGACTGAACCCCTTTGAGTACTTCTGGGGCAGGCGAAAGGCTCAGGTTTATTTGGTGAAATTCAGACACACATCATCAGAAACAGCACATCACAGATGCATGTGCAGGGTTGGTTGGCCAATGGCCTGGTTGGCCCAGGACTGAGGGGGCTCCCAGGATGTGGGACTTTCAGTGCTATAACCAGGAGGGTCCCAAGGGAAGGGGACTAGTCGGTGACTCTAGAGGCAGGACCTGCTGCCTTACTGCATTACCCACACCTGTTGCACACCCAGCGGAGGTGCCAAGTGTGTGTGGTCTATCTTGGAAGACCAGCCTTGAGAGAAGATGCAGCTCCCTGGGAACAGTGGGCTGATGGACTGGTGACACTGAGACGGTGTGTTCAATGAACATGAAATGCAAACTGTCATTTCCAGGGCAGGGGTTCCTCCGACAGACTGCGTTCTCCCCGGGGAGGGTCACACCGCAGGATGGGAGTGAGGCTGGGAGACAGGTCCAGAACAGAGACCCTGGAGTCTGCTCTGTGGACAGAAAAGGCTCAGAGGCCTGGGTGTCAAAGGGACATGATGCCTTTAAGGAGGATGAAGTCATCGGGGCTGAGGCCACCTGGCTGCTTGAGGCCTGCAGGCTGCAGCCGAGAGGGAGAGGCAGAAGGTGGAAGGCAGGTGGGACGTGGGGGCCGAGCCTGGGATGTCAGCTCTGCGGCTGACAGACGGGAGCCAGCAGGAGTGGGAACGGCCAGCCCTGGCGTTGCCTGGGGTGCCCGGGAATGTAATCAAACACCCAGCAGACCCGCTGGCCATGGGCATCTGGATACCACCGGGCCCTCCAGCTCATCCCGACCCCCAGCTGGCAGTTCTGACAGGCTCCTGCCAGGAGAAGCGTCCGGCCTTGTTGGCCAGGCTGGTGAGCATGAGCTCATCTGCCACCAATCCTGCCCTCCTCGGCCTGCCCCAAGCTGGTGCTGGTGGGTGGGGCTCTGTGCTGGGAGCGAATGGAGCCAGGCAGGCCTTGTCAATGGCCTTGGTTAGGTCATCCCAACAGGAAGCCTGGAAGGTGGACTTGAAACAGAATCTCTGATGTTATCCCCACCCTGACCTTCCCCAGACTTGGGGCTTTGATGTGGCCCTGGCCCAGGGAACCAGTACCCTCCCTGGTCCCCTTCTCCACAACCATGAACTACATTCCAGCATCATCTCCCATTTCTCCCTATTGTATGGTAGCAACAACAATAACAACTGTGGTGCTAATAACTAATATTTGTTATAATTTAGGTACATCATTTCATTTAATCCTCAAATAGATTGTCCTAATGAAGTACTGTTATTATCCTCATTCTCATTTTGCAGAGGAAGAAACTG